AAGCAGTGATACAAGCTTTTTTTCCTGTCCTTTTGTAGATCCAAATAAAGTCATCTTTGTTTAATTTATGCCATTGTTTTATTTGGGCCCAATATAAATAAATTGTGGAATGAGTGATTGATGATGATGATGATGATGATGATGATGATGATGATGATTCATATGGATTGGAGTGCCTATAAATATTATTATGTAAGATAATTTCACTGTATTTTCTCTTGCACAAAACAGTGATGGGCCTGAACTGCAGGAACAGGAATTCTGTATGGACTATTCAGTTAGTAGATATTAGCATAGCTATGTATGTTGGTTGCTTAGTATTGTTTTAATAAAAGGTGTATGCAGGATTACATGAAGAAGTAAAGAGAAGAGTCCTGGGAAGGTTTTAGAATTAGCTGTATTGCTAATCTCAGTTTTGACTGGGTGCCTTCAATAAAGACTATGTTAAGATTTGCCTGTGGTGCTTCAAATGTATATAGCATAACAAGTGTTGCTTAATACTGAATCCAGTATTCCCTCTTTCCCTCTATGATATTTTGTATAAATAATGAAAACTTCATTCACATGGCTACTGCTGATTTTGCCTCAAGTAACTCATCCTAATCTATCTATCCTAATCTGTAGTTCCCTCCTTCCCCCAGTGGCGTAATGATAACCAGCTAGGGCTCCATTTCCATTTTGGGGATCTCTCACAAGCTTCAGTTCATTCTGTGCTTTAGCTTTTTTGTTTCTGAAGACCACCTTGTATTCTTTAGAACTGTTCCTCTTCTCCCTTTTTTTATACATACCTCTTTTTCTCTTCAGCGTTTTAAAGAGCTCTGCATGTATCCACTTTGGCCTCTATAGATTTCTCCCATTTTGTCTTCTTGTGGGATTGATTATGACTGTGCCTTGGGTATCTTGTTCCATGGAATTTTCCATTCTTCCTGGACACTTTTCTCCTCAAGGATTTAAAGCGTATAGATCCAACCTATCTTCTCCTGCAGAGTTCCTCAAAATACATTCTCCTGAAAGTATGCACTGCAGATATGACTTCTCAGTTCCTCCTCCTCTGAACATCATAGGTTCAAGGATAACATGATGGCTTTCCTTCAACGTACCAGTCACCATCACTTCTTTCAACCAGTTCCTATCTTTTGGTGGGGATTAAGTGCAAGATAGCAGATCTCTTTTTCTTTCTTCTTCCTTCTGATAAATGAAGTTGACAGGAAACATTTGTTAGATCTCTAATTTTTGGCAGAGAATGTTAAGTCATACATCAAAAGCAAAGTGTCTGCTCTGTGGACGATAAAGAATGGTGGATGCCATTTACTTGTGTCAGTTTCAACTTATTTCACAGCATATTGGGATTCTTTAGGGAAAAGTGGAAGGGTACCAATACTTCTGGCCATGTCTCTAGATTCCCAATTGATGCTGGATAATTGAAATCCTCCAAACATGTTCCACAATTTGAGAGTTTCACATATGGTTGAGTCCATTTTTATAATACATTTGTAATCTATTATAAATATACTAAAGAACATTTTGAGTTCACTCTTTCTTGTTTTTTACTCCTCATACAGTTAAAGTACGCATTGTATCACTTCAATCGAAAGTTGTCCTTGGAGCCTAAAGTGTCGGTCAGTTGTAGAATAGTAGTTGTTGGAGCATCAAATGTTGGAATCTCCTTCCTGGAGACACTGATTTTTTGGTAAGTTTTTAGTTTTGTTGTCATTTAATTTCACACTGGAGGTTTCTTCACTTTGTTATTTTTTTTTGTTCAATTATTGCATTTATGTCTCATCTTTTTAATTAAAGCTCAGTGTTATATGCTTGTGAGTCTCACCTTATGTTATCTCTACAACAACAACTCTTGAGATACATTGGGCTGAGAATAAGTGACTAGTCCAAAGTCACCCAGGGAATTTTCATGATTTAGGGTAGACTCAAACTGCATATCATCATTTCATGTCTGTCGCCTAAGCTACTACATTTTGCCTAACCTATCAATACTGCTGTGATCTAAAGTTTCTGTGCATATTAATGTACACACGGTACTGCCTCCTCACACTCAGTGCTGGAGACAATCAAGCTAGCTTTCATTTGTATATGACATACATTATTGCTGTGGTTATAATGGTGGTTATCACTAGCATTCACAGTACTGATGATGTAGTTCTAAAAGGGAGATCTCTTCTGATCGAAACCAAGAAAATATACAACCAAAAAATCCAGGAGGCTTGTTTACCTTTCTCTTGCACATATTAAGGGAAGGAATAGTAGTCTATAACTATAAGTTATAGTAGAGATGGACAACTTGTATCTCTGGTAGCTGAATTCTAATTCCTTTTAGGTTTAGCCAGGATGGCCAATGTTAAGGTGTGGTGGGAATTTCAGGCTAATATTTGGAGGGCCAGACTTTTTGTTGTTATTGTTAGTTGCCATCAAGTTAGTATCAGCTTATGGCAACCCTGTGGATAGTTATTCTGGATTGTGTTTGGTCTTCAGTCAAGTGGCTAATCACTGCTAGAGTGGAATGTTTTGCTGTTGTTATTGTATTGATTCATCACAATGCTGATCTTTCTTTTTTGCATTTTCCTTCAACCTTGCCAAGCATAGTATCTTTCTCTAGTGTTCTTTCCTTTGGCATGTCCATAATATTAAAGTTTTAGTCTTGTTAACTGAGTTGCTAAGGAAAGCTTAAGGTTGATTTCCTCCACTATTGATTGAATTGTTCATCCAACAATCCATAATAGTCTCAGTATCTTTTGACAATACCATAATTCAAAAACTTCCGGTTTTGTTTCTTCACTCTCCAACTCCAAAATCCATATGATATTATTGAAAATACTATGGACTGAACAAATTGGAACTTTGTTACCTGCTACTCAGTTAAACTACAGAAAGATTCAAGAAGTTGCAGCTCCTTTCTTCTAACCAAGAAAGCCAGGTTTGAGATACCCAGAAAGTTCCTTTTTGTTGGTTTATAATGAATAGGGTAGGGAAAGCATGGAATTCTTCTGGTGTCTGGAGTTCTTTCTAAACCCTTTACCAGCAGTGACTTTAGGAGATATCTTTGTTTCCTTACGTTAATGAAGTGACACATTATGTGTGTGTCTATGTTTCTGCTGTTCCCCTGTGTGTGTGTTTGTGTGTACTGAGAAGAATGGGGTAAGCTACATGTGTCTGCTATGACCAGAGTGGGGCTTAGAATGGAGGAATCGGCAGTTCTAAGCTGTTTCCAAATTGCCTCTCCCATAAGGATACATTGGGGGCTATTTCTGGATTTTTTTCCTCAGCAGCTTCTGGCTGGAGCCAGCCCATGTTCTTACTTGATCTTCTTCCCTACCCAGATTTAGTTCCATTCTGTTATGTTTTCAGAGAGGTAGCCTGCTGATGGACAGATGGATAGCCAGACAGAAGGAGAGAATGTCAAGCCTCCTTTAATAATTTCTTTCCAACATTCGTTTGGGTTGGAAAGAGAAAAGTAGAGAAAGCATTCAGAGCTTGACTTCTTGAATTCCTTCCAAAATCTTTTTTCAGCAGTTGCCATAGGCAGTATCTCTACCTTCTCTGTGTAATAAAGTAATGTGTTAGTCCATGTATGATGTGTGTTTCTGCTTTCCTCTGCTGCAACTGTATGTGTGTTTTGTGTATGGGTACACAGGGAAGCACACAGCGAGCAGTATATATTCTGTTCTGGGTCACATGACCAGAAGGGAGGAGAGAGGGGATGTAGAATGGCGCAGCCAATAGCATTCCGAGTCACTGCCCAACTGCTTCTAGGGATGCATTACGGGATTTATTTTTATTTATTTGTTTTTTTTGCTGGAATGTTTTACTCTGCAGATCCAAACCAGATATGGCTCCCTTTTTAACCTAATCTTTCTTTTGCCAGTTTCTCTCACCTTATCAAATTTGGTCCCATTATGTTCAGTTTTCAGACAGACAGGCACAGTTCTCATCCTCTTTACAGTTTTTTCCAGCATTCCATTAAGATGGGAAGAAAAAAAAGGAAAGGTCTAGAGCTATTTATTAGGAATCCACTTCTGCAGGTTACAATGAAGCATGTGGATTGCAAATGGCAGCTGCAATTCTATTCTGACTTACTAGACAATAAGCTTGTTAAAGAAAATACATTAACCTTAATTACTAAGTGCTTAGATGGAGACTTTTACATCATGTCTACATCATTTTAAATAGCCTAGAGTAAAATGCAACTAAAGACTGACATCTCATGATATTTGAGCTATTCAATACATGTATTTTCTCTGAACAAATAATTTGGAGAAGTATGGGATTCAGAGTATAACTATGTTCAGATCATAGTTTAGTCTGGGCATTGTACATCAGGTCAGGTCAGACTGAATGAATTCCTCAAAAGCCCCTGGAGAAGAGCAAATATGTCTGTTACTTTCATGCCTGAATTATTTGCTCCAATGCAGCAGATCACTGTAATTTTTTATAACAAAAAGGAAGAGACAATAAGGGCAGCTGTATCTTTCCCATTCCTATGCCTTATCAACAGACATTTTTCTTTCCAGCCCAGCCTTAAGCTTGGTTAAAGTGTATGAAAATAACATGCGGGAGAATGTGACTCTTTTATCAAGTGCTGCTTTTATTACCAAAATATTGTATATTACCAAATATTGTATGTGAAAAATATGTTTCTCTTTTGTACACCTGCTTTGTCTCTGTGTTACAGAATTATTTCAAGCTTGAAAGACCTCCAGAATAGTTGGAACAGTGTCAAAACTCTTCCAAAAGGGTAAAAAGGGTACCTGTTTTGAACTTAAAGCAACTGTTTCAAGCTTGAGATGAAGCATTTCAAGCTTGAAATGTTTGGGGTTTGAAATGTTTTGCCACCCCTTTTCTGTATCATATATTTTAGACTTTTTAAATTCCCACACTCCCAACATCAACTTGCTTCAGAGTCATTTGGAGCAGGGCAGCATACACGCTTAATTATTATTATTATTATTATTATTAATATTAAGAATTGTGAAAATCCTCCTTTGCCATCATTTTCCACAACATTCACCTCTCCTTTGAGAACAGATATATTTCATGAATGATTAGTTTTCTAACAAGAGAACTATTCATAATTATATGAATTCATGTGCACATTACTTAGGCATCCTACTGCGATGTGTGTCTTATATATATCCCTTTCATAATTTGCTGGCTTCTTGTTTACCTTTTGAAAAAAATATTATTCTGTAAACTACAACCACTGCAAAAGTTAGCTTTCTATATGTGTGTTTGTCTGTGTATGTGTGTGGTATGTATTTTGTGTTTTGTATTTTTATTTGTGTGTATTTTGCTTAAAGGTGATAGTAAAGCTACTAAAAACACCAACAATATTGAAATGCCAAATAAACTTTGTTCAATTCTGAATTAAATATGAAAGAAAAATTCCTTCTGAAGATGTATCACAAAAGGAAAAGCTAAGCTTCACATATCATCCATATACTTGTGTTTAAGCATATAATATAAGTTAGTTAGGACTTAGGGATATTTTTTCATTATTATACAGTTTATGTTTCATTTTTTCAAATATTTAATCATATTTTCCTTTTACAGGAAACTTTATGTTCAGGATTATAAATTATTCAGATACAATCAAATGTTCATATAGTTTTATTTATTCAGTTGTTTACACTTACCTTTATATTGACAGTGTAGAAATGTTGAAGAACAGGGAGGTTTTGTAGAGAAGAAATAGGAATAATTCTAAGTTATGCAAAGCTACCCCATAGTTAAATGGATCACTTGTACTCCTTTAGTAAAGTCAATGTAGAAAGCACAGCTGCCATGCAAAAACAGCAGAATTTGCACTACATCTTGTAGTGAGTACCTCTTTTTCCAAGTCCTATTTTAGTATCATCACTTTACCAGCTGCTATTAGGAGACTATTTAATTTCACTGCATGCTAATCCAATAAATTTCCCAGAAGTTGTCTTTTTCTGTCTAGAATAGCATTGATTCTGTATATTGATAATCAATAAGATGAAAAGAATAAAAACAGTTTTTAAAACTATTCTGCATATTCTTGTACATAAGCATTTGAAGAAGAGTTTGACAGCGTCCCAGTAGATAGGTCCTATAATATTCTGTGTTTCTGCAATAAGTTGTGCAACTGAAAGAGCATCTTTAGCTTTGCTTTTCTTACCAGATTTCCTCCAGATGTGTTGGCACACCACTTCTAGATTTCAGGTATCATTACAATGCTGTCCATTGGAAATGATGGAAACACATTTAGACTGCAACCCTATCATAGGCATATTTACCTGAGAGTAAGTCCTGTTCAGCTAAACAGGGGTGAGATTGTTGATAGAATGAATATAGCACTTCTTGGGTTTATCCTTTTTCTTCCCTTGGATTTGTTTAGCAATCATAATGGCTTAGAAATTGCATGCTTCTAAGCTCTACTTATGACAGAACAGCTACAACTCCTGTTATCTGGTAGCCCAGTATTACACAGTATCCTGCACAGCTGTCTTGTTTGGCAGTAGCTAGCATAAAGCTTGCTGTTTAATTAGGCTTTTTATCTTTACATTTGTCTGAGAATGTCAGGAGCCTTCCATGTTGCCTGCCACTAATTAGTTGACTAATTAAATAGTTAGTGCTTACTTGCTGATCACAGGGCTAGCATGTAATGAATGTTGTAGTAATTGTTATTGTTTTATGCTATCTGCCTTTTGCCACATGAGTTGACTGAAATATGTTCCCTTTTTGGATTGTTTTTTCCATATTGAGGGAAAATAATACGAGACAAAACAATGCAGTGGTTTGCCATGCACTCAGTATTACTGAAGGAGCAGCGTTCAGGCAGAGATAAATAGGACATGTTCTATCTTGCCTGGGTATGAAATCAGTTACAATGGATGGTGTCTGTGATAAATGCAAGACATACCCAATGATGAAAGATAGTGCCTCCAAATATTTGCAGCAATCATTTAACAGAGTATAATACTGTGGTATAGATATATATAGTCAAATTATGTTAATTTTTAATAGCAGTATGAATTGAATAATTCTTATCTATTTTCCCTATAAGCTTAGATCTCCATAATGCATTTGAATTTACAGTACTTTAACTGAGGGTATGTTTCCTTCTATACATCCTTCAACATGTGAAAACCCATCAATGAAATAAATGAGAAATCTATAAAATCTAAAAAAAAAAATCTACTGTGCATCTGAGCAAATAAGGCTATCTAAGTCAAAGCCAGTAGTTTTGGCTTTATTCAGCTCTGTCTGTGTGTGTGCATGTCTGTATTCCCATGCATACCCAAAGAGCAGCGTGTGGAGGCTTTTATGAGCATAGACAGACTTCTGTACAGATTCAAAGAGTGCATTCCAAGCCTACATATTATAAATGTGCAAAAATGTATTAGACATGCAAAGCCAGTAATGCCACTTTATATCAGACAGTGCTAACACTAAAATAGGAGACAGTGATTCATGTTTGGAGACCTACAAACATTCTCTGACATAACTGCTGGAGTAATTTTTCCACTTTATGTACAGTATTTAAAATATTTGTATCATTTCTTATCACCAACAATCCTAAATCTGTTTATAAAAATCATAGAACTGATTAAAAATAGGATAAAATAATCCAGTAAAAAGACAGATATTGGGAGGAATTAATGGCTAGGGAGGCACCTGAGATTTGGGAGCTGTATACCCTTCTGTGAGATTTACAGATACATGCGTAGGATTCCCAAGCAGTTGCTCATCCAGCTAGTGGCCAGGCCCAGATCTGCTTCATGTATTTTATATTGGAGGATTGGTCCACTAATGTCTCCATAAACGTAGCAAAAATTCTGTTCAATTGCATTTGTCATCAGGAAGCACGTGGTTTGAATTTGGCCTTAGGGTCTTTTTTCTTTATTTAATTTCATTGTATATTTTTTAAATGAGTCTCTTGTTAGCTGTACCACTAATGTATGTATTTGATTCTTTATCTTCCTTTTTTTGGGAGGGGGGGAGAATTTATGTTCTTTGACTGTACATAAATAAATAATAAGACTGATATCCTTATCTCTGGTATAATAGCTGCAGTGTGTGCATTCAGACCAAGCTTGATCCTTAAGGCATCTTTTTGTTTCAGAAAGCTTATTTCTCATCCATGAATATCTATGAATTTCTGTTGAATATCTGGCTTTGCAAAAAGTGAAAATGATCTAAAATAGTCATATTTTAAGTGACTTCTGCTTCCCTTATCGCACCACTAATAAATTGGCAACATGACCCTTTTTTATTTTAAAGCCAAGGATGCTTAGGCCTCCTTTTGTAGCTGCACTTTAAAGCCAGGCAATGAAACCCAATACCTTTTACTTATTTCCCTAGATACTCTAATCCCTCCTGCTTTACAAGTATCTTTGAGCTGTTCTTCCCCTTTTGTATCCACAGCAACACGAATCCCTGCTGGAATTATTTGCTTCGATAAAGCAGGTGCACTTGTTTAATGCTTGGTTAGGTTGAGCTCTTAACTTGAAGCTTTAAAAAAAAGCCTGATGGTTGCCCTGTGCTGTAAAGAACATGGTATTCAGGATTTTTTATGTACCATGAAGAAGCAGTTCCGTGTCTAGTATGCACTACCTGTTCTTCAGCAATTATTTCCATTTTGCAATGACCAAAAATATGCTGTTTGTTTCAATATTAAAGAATCTAAGTCTAGGATGGATGTGTTAGCTCTGAATTGTCCAAAAATGAAATAAGTGCATGGATTATATTTGCAGTAATTTTCAAATTGTGTTCAATGAGATAACTGATACTGTTCCACCCAAAATAAATGGAACTTTAGTAGCTTTTGTAAGCAGAGTGTTCATTCTAGAAAGGAGGCTAACCCTAGATCTCTGCAGAATTTACTGTTCTGTTTTTACATTCTTCAATTAGTTTCCACTTAAAATGATAACTCTGCTTCATTTTCCAGTCAAAATATTCTCAATAGAGTGAAAAGCAATAGAGAATCTTCACCTACGCAGGACTCTGCCTCTCATTATATTTACATGTGAATTTTTTTTAGCCATGCCTTCTTCCAGCTAGGAGGTTCAATAACTCATAAAAACCTAATGCGATGGACTCTACATATGGGTGATTCTTAACTCCTCTCCAGCTTCTATAGACCAGGTGAAACAGCAACTGAGCAACCTAGGATGATCACTCTTGAAATGTTAATCTAGCCTTCCTTAACCTGGTGTCCTCTATAATGCCCAGCTGACACACCCAAACACATGTTACTTAAAAAAAAATCACGTGAGTTGAAATTCCAGCACACGTAAGTGACTAGGTTGGGGAGAGATTGATAAATTACTTTTACTTTGGCACCACAGGAACATAGATCAAGAAAGCCTTAATTGCCAAGTGAAAAAAAAGATTAAAACCTTGACTAATCAAGAAAGCAAGAGCTGAGATTTCACACCACTTTAGGAATCCAATGCAATATAAGAAAGTTTGGAACTGAAACAAATTGAGAAAATATACCTATTTAACAACTACTAAATATTAGATAAATTATTAAGTAAGAATAAACATACTGTAATCTGACTGTAATATTTCTGAACTGAAAGAATTGGCATAGGAGATTACTCTTTTAAGCTATTATTTTGTTCAATGATATGTAAAGATTATGTAAGAATATGCTTCATTGCTGTGCTTTAATTAATCAGTTTCTATGACTTTACCTTAATGTGTCAGAAGCCTCACAATCAATTAACCATCCTGCTAGTTTGCTTGCTTCATTTCTGCCATTACAAAAGAAAGAGGGGAGGCGGGCAAAAGCTAGAAGGTGAACTGTTAAGCGCAGATGGACTGTTTCTCAGGAATGCCCAAGGTCGTACCAGCGTGGGACCAGGCGAGACCCTTTGGAATGTGCAAGAAGGACTATGGGATAGAAGGGGAAGGTGAAAGGGGGTAAAATTGAGTTTGGTGCGTGCGGGCTTTTAGTCTCAGCAATGCCCTAGAACTATACAGCAGTCCTCAATAAATGAATTCTTCTTTGAATCTTAAATGGTTTCAGTGGGAGTTGCTTTCATTGGGAACTGAGTCTTGCAGCTTCTTACATAATGAAACCATGGACATGTGACCTCTGATGGTGCTACTTTTGAATCTTTTACTGATTCATCTAAACTCCCTTTGGTTAAGACTTTCAAATCTTACAATTTTCATAGCCAGTTTCAGAGTTTGGACAATTACAAGAACTTTAAGATCGGGGAAGGGGGGAGGCCTATAAGTTTGCTACACCTCCTTTATACAGAGCTTCCATGATATCCAAGGGAGGCATAAATGAACTCATGGTTTGCATGAAGGGTTTGTGGACCTTTTAGAATGAATGTAATGCTAAACTAGCATTACTTGAGCTCAAGTTTCTGTGTTCATCACTTCTTCTCCCCCATGCAGTTGAAAAAGAAATCAAAATATCCATGTTTTAAACATAACTAAAAATTTCTTTTTTTGAAATTTATTATTCTAAACCAGGGCTAGACAAATTTCAGCCATTGGTTTTTATGTTGGTACAAATCTTTCCCTCTTAGAACTGAATAACTTGCACTCTGTCTTGAGCTTCTGTAAAAAAGATGAGATATAAATGTAACAAATATATAAACCCAGAATTTTGAGTACCAGAATTAACAAGTTTGAGCATCAAAGAACACTTAATTTAGTTGGCATTTCAATTGTTTATCAATAATATGAATCAAAAATAACTCAAGCAAATTTATATAACATTTTGATGTTCTGTTTTTCTGTAGCCCACACCTGAAATTCAACAACCTTACATTGATTTCAGCTCATGGACTTCCAGGGAAAGATGAATCAAATAATCTGCATAAGCGATTTTTAATTAACAGGTTTGTTTGGAGTATTTTCAGTACTGCCCAAAAGACACAAACCTAAACATTATTTTGTAATGGTAAAATATACTTCTGATGCAATGGGGTACATTTATATAGTAAATGAGGAGTTATCAAATCTAGTTTCTCCCATGTGTACATACTCCCCTTGTCCCAGTTTTCATATATCATCCTCTGCTAAATCACTATCCTTGTTTTGCCTTAAAAAATTATAGAGAGGCCTTCAGCAACACTTTCCTCCTTCTTTTAGCAAAAGTAGCAAAAAAGGGAAAAATAGAATGGAGATGGCATAAGAGGAAGGGGCAGCTATACTGGAAATGGAGAACAAAACTGGGTGGAGATTAAGCTAGGGGAAGAGTTAACTAGACAGGGAAGGAAAGAAAAGAGGTTTTGTTTATGCATTACAGAAAGGATTACATTCACCAGTTAAGCCATTCCTCCCAAGAAACAGGCAACCTTCATGCTAATTTTCAAAGGCATCCAGGTTTGCAACAGTTATGTCTGCAGCAATCTGTGCCTCTTGCTAATCCATTCTTTTCTTACCAGCAAATGTAAAAACCTCCCGCTGCTTCATTCCAATTCACCTGTCTTCCTATGGAGAAATACAGTATCTTACTAAGGACTTTAGTAAACTTTCAGAAAGATAGCAAGAGGACTTGATCTATTATGGGATTTTAACCACCTGACCAGAATATAATTAATAGATACATTCAACCACTAAGATGCATTTGTTGTTTCTTCACAGTTATTGTTTTAATGAGGATGATTATGCACTGATGTCACTTGGTTCATGGATTAATGTTGTGGCTGGAAAAATGACTGCTATAAACAGATCTGCAAAACATGTAATAGTTTCCAAGGAGAAAAAAGTGCCATATGATCATCTCATTCTCTGCACTGGCCAACAGTATCAGGTAAGTCCAAATACTGAGACAGCACTCCTTATACCTGCTTAAATGGGAAAAATTCCCATTGAACTCAGATTAATTAATTTATATTGCATAGATTATAGTGTGAATGGAAAATAGTTTGTTTCATATCTGAAGTATTTTTTAAAAAACTAAAAAATGATCTTAATTCTTTATCCTCCTTTTACACTTAAGTACTAAGTTCAAGATTGTGATCCCATGCTCACTAGAACAAATAGTTTCAGGAATAGACCATAAGAATCAAAAACAATATGTGTTAATAAAAGTCATCATGGCTGAATGCAGTGGGAACTCTTCCAGTATAAGCAGTTAAAACTGTGGACCTCTCTTGCGGCTTCTTGTTAGCAAATTTTATCTAAGTCCCAAATTTAGATAATCTGACACTATCAACAAATGAGAACCTATACTATTTAATTCAGTACTGTTGCAGCATAAGAGAACAGTTTGTCCACAAACCTTGATTTGATTTGATTTATTTGATTTGACAAACCTATCAATGATGCAATTCCAAGGCTCCTCAACAAGCCTAGGATTGTTAAATACAGGGCACTGTTCTCAGAGGAATAAACTAGACATCCGTTTCCCTTCTCACCTGTATGCCGGATTACATGGCTGGCTCTTTCTGAGGTTCCATGGTGGGGTTTCATCAAGAAACATGGCATCATAGCTGCCAAGCTGCAAGACCATATGGGCCAGTACATGAGCACAGCTCAGAAGGGCATTGGGAGCAACACCAGAGGCTCAAAACACCAGTTACTCATAGACAGAGCAGTCGCCTGAGACTCAAGGTCTAGGCGGACCAATCTGAGCACAGC